AGAAACGGCGGCCCCGGTATCAATTAACGCTAATGTGGCGACTCCCTCAACATCGACATCAACAACATTTTGCGGCGAAAATGGAGGCCTTGGGAATTGCGCACAAGTTGCAGTTCTTGCCTCCGGAACTGCACTGATTAGTTTCCCTCCTCAAGAGGTGGTCGACGACGCATAGGCGATGGCGATCGGCGACGAGGTGATGGGAAACGAGCAGTCGATGGGTGGCGATCCGAGTCGGAGTGCCTCTGTTCATATGCAGACGTGGTGGTCTGCTGCGGTGCGTAGGTAGGAGCTCCGAAGTATGCGTGCGCAGGCGTGGGACGGCGGCGGCAGAAGCGTGCAATGTGGCCAGCGATGCCACACGCGAAGCAGATGGGACGATTGTCTCGGGTGCGCCACTCATTAGATGGACGGAAAAAGCGAGGTGGGGGCCTGTAGACTGGAGGCGAGGCCGGAGGAGGTGGAGCCGATAAGGCGACTGGATGCGGTGGGGGCCGCGCGACCACAGCTGCATAGCTGAGAGGTGAAGGCGGCGCGGTTGGTGCGTAGCCAGCAGTTGAGAGATCAGATGGCACCGGAGTGCACGGGTAAGAGGCCGGAACTGTAGGGAGTGCATTGCAAATTTCAGTGCGTATGGCCTGCTGCATATTCGAAGGGAGGCTTGTCGTGGGCGCGTCACTATGCGGCAGCAGGGAAAGCTGTCGGGCGACTTCCTCCCTGATGAAGTCTTTAATCTGGTTCGACAGAGTTCCTTGGTGAACGTTGCCATTGGCGAGTGCGACGGCCGAGATCGAATCTGGTGATGGAACACTCTGTCGGGCGATGGAACGCTGACGACGCAATTCATCGAAGCTCTGGCACAGGCTTACGAGGACTGCCACCGTGGTCGGGCTCTTCGCCAGCAACATCTGGAATGCGCCATCCTCGATGCCTTTGAGAATATGTCGAATTTTCTCTTCTTCAGGCATGGATGAGTTAACACGCCTGCAGAGGTCGAGCACATCCTCAATATAGCTAGTAAAGGTCTCACCAGGTTGCTGGGCTCGGTGGCGCAGACGCTGGTCAGCGCGGAGCTTGCGGACCTCTGGTCGGCCGAACGCTTCGGTCACGAGGGTCTTGAAGGTGGACCAGCTGGCGATGGCGGTTTCGCGGTTAGTGAACCATAGCTTGGCGACGTCAGCCAAGTAAAAGATGACATAGGCAAGCTTGGAGTCGTTGTCCCATTTGTTGCTGGCACTCACGCGTTCGTACAAAGAGAGCCAGTCTTCGACGTCTTGCTCACCAATGCCGCTGAAGATTGGTGGGTCCCGCTGACGGGTAGCACCGGGGCAGGTCGACGGGGCAGCCGATGGTGCTGGCTGTGCTGGGATGGGCTGGTTGGCGACTGCGTCAGTCATGTTGTACGGTAGTCTTTCGGCCAACTTGCGAGAGCGGAGCTCCAGGTCTGCTTGGGGATCTCAGCAGCCTCCACCAAATGCGATGATGTTTATTAGAACAGAGGAGTCGCAACGAGGTCGCGACGGAAAATGGGCGAACAGCAAGTCTGGCAAAGGCGGCACAGGTTCTCGCGCAATCAGAGCACGGGCTTCTCGTTGTCTTCCGAAGGCGCATACGCGTTGGTGCGTATGCTCCACTACAACAGATATTTCTGTGGTTTGCTATTCTCGAAAATCCCAGCTTTCAAAGGGAAGCGTATTGCTGCATACGGTGCGCAATTCTGTTAGGTTAACATGCAAAAATTTGCGCGTCGTAGATGGCAGCTATACACATACTACATTTAATGTTGCCACAGTGACAATAACTTTAAGCTTTCAAAAAGAAAAAAAAACTAGCCCCAAACACCGCGCTACTGTACCACGCTCAGCCACCGGCGGGCTGTTTTGCCAACCACTGCCTTCATGTGCACCGGTGACGTCACGCTGTGAAGTACCCCGGTATAGGTCAATTCTGTTCCCCGACGCCATCGCGCGATTGCTGAGAGAGTGTAAGAGCGAAAGTCCACAGCCACTTACCCAGTCCTTTACATGGGCCAGAACGCTTCAGCGCTTTCTGACAGTGCTAGGGTCAGCTGTTGCACACGCGCAGTAAGCGGTGATTACGCACACCTGATTGAACTCGGTCATAAGCTACTTCGCATCTACAACTGAGCCGCTTTGAGACTGAAGCAATAAATGCGATAGTACCAAAGTGGAATGTCATGCGAAGAATCGCTAACAGCCAACTCCTTTAGCAAACACGGACACCGCTGCGAAAGTAGTGTCCTTCGTGCTGGCTATGGCTTTAACGCAAACATGGCAGTGGATGAGATAAGCTCGCGAGAACAGGCGACGACACCCTGTCGGTCCAAGTACAGAGCTAGAGAAAGGTGGCCTCACTCCTGTTAAAAACGCGAAGAGGGGACATACCGTCACGAGACCCCGACGTTGACGAAGGCAGCATTCAGCGTGTCAAGACTAAACTTTTTACACGAGTCAACTTGTGCCTGAATAATGAACATACAACGTGTAGGAGAGTACGCGCCCCGCCCCATCGAGTGGTCCGTCCTCTCCAAATATTTCGTCCCGTCGAACACGCGACGCGGCCGCGGCACATCCACAAATATTGGGGCGATGCAGCTAACCTCACGTTTTTTTGTTGTTGTTTTTTAAAGCGTAAGCATACGCCTAGCAAGCGTCAACTAAAAAAAATTTAACTGACATACAGATTGTCAAAGCTGCGTACCACCCTCGCCAGCTCGGGCCAACTGTCTTACTTGGTGACTGATGACCGAGCACTCGATCCATCATGAGGTTCCCCCGGTGCTCCTCGGAGTGTGGTCCACGATGAACCGAAGGTCCTTGTACAGCGACGTCGACGGTCGGTGCACGCACAAGGGAAAACCAGTCCACGGCTTACATGACTTGCCACTTGTGGGCTCACGCTTCTCTGGCTCGCCTTCAGAGCCATTGACGTTAGACTTACAGATTCGTCCCAAGGCTTGGAGACACATGCCGAGCATCGCATGGCGGGCGAGTCAGGCAGACGAAACTTGGGAGCAGATATAAATGTCCTTGGCAAGGCGGTAACTGTTTCTTGCACATATCGAACAGCTGGCCGTCAACCTAAGCAGATGGGATGCTGTGGTACAACGTGTCAGCAGGCTTGCTTGGCACGGAAGTTGATCGAAACGTTCCGCTCATATTCAAGGTCCATAGGTTGAAGCTCTTAAAACAGTCCGTGAATAAGTCGCATGGAAATACGTACGTACGTACATACTGTAGTCAAGCACAGCCATTCTCACTGCAACAGCAACAACCCCGGGCTCTGCAGTTTGCACACGTGTACCAACGTCGAGATAAAAACGTGGAAATGGCAGGCGCATCCGGACCACTAAGGCGTGCGTGCGATGGTGTTTAGCGCATGCGTTGATGCGAACGGCCAATCTTTTTCTCTTGCGCATTGGTCAGTCTTGTCGCACCTCACTGCCTCGCTAGCAGCCACAATGCAGTCTTATCGCCGCGATCAGCGCTACTCGTGATGCGCAAAATAAAATTAAAAGAACAGCCATATCTTCAGCCCTTAGCCGAACTTGAAACGTTTTAGACGGCTTCTTCTTATGTTATGTGACAGCAACTGCGTAGTTCGCGCTATCACCTTCGTTTTATAAAATTTAAACGCGTGTTCGCGAAAACGTCGCAACAAAGCAATATCGGCGTAAATTAGGGCCGGTATTTCTCACAAAGCATTTTTGTAGGGTTGCACGCGTCGAAACCAAGATATGATTGCGAGTCACGCCGTAGCGGAAGGCTCCGGGTATTTCGACTATTTGTCGTACTTTTAACGTGCGCTGGCATGACACAGTGCACAATTGCAAATGCCCCGGCAGAGATCAAACCCGCGACTTCCCCATCCACAGAGTAGCACCGTATCCCTCGTCTTCACAGTGGCCAAATGGACCTTAACTCTTTTTCAGTACTTCATCTGCAAGTCTCTTTCTCATATATTGGAGAGATTAGGTTCACTGATAGGTGGGGATTAACTTCCCAAAACCACCATAGAGACGCCATAAGAAACGCCATAGTAGACGGCCCCGGAAATTTCGACCACCTGGGGTTCTTTGTAGTGCACCGAAATCTGAGCACACGGGCCTACAGCATTTTCGCCTCCATCTAAAATGCAGCCGCCGCAGCCGGGATTCAATCCCGCGACATGTGGGTCAGCAGCGAGTGCCTTAGCCACTAGACCACCGAGGCAGGGTGTGCTGCAAGAGTGCAGGCCCGTGAGCCTCCCGCCGTGGTTGCTTGGCAGGTACGGCGTCGCGCCCCAGCGTCTCAATGTGGGGCTTGATTTTCGACCATCGCGGCCACATTTGGAGGGGGGGGGGGGGGGGGGGGTAAAAATTAACTAGTGGCGCAGGCAGAAAGTTTTTTTTTTGAGGGGGGGGGATTGGGGGGCACACATTTAACTGTTAATTTTTTCTGTATGCCACGGTGAAAGAACGTTTTGGGGGGAGGAGGGAGATGCCATCTCGCGGCTGCGCCACTCACAAGAACACCCGGGTACTTATACTTGGGTGCACACTAAAGAAGCTCAGGAGCGCAAAATTAAGCTGGAGTCCCTTATTATGGTTTCGATACGTTAAACCCCAGATATACATGACATTAAACAAATGGGTGTGCGAGATTCTGCAGAGAATGATGCCGTTCTTACTCGTTAGTTATGTACGAGTTATCATTTTGTGGCGAAGATAGCGAAAGCACGCAAGTGCAAATGGTATTCCTTTGTTGTTTTTTTGATGGGGGGGGAGGGTATCAGAAGGATAATACTGGAGGGATCAAATGTCTCTGTGTGTGTGTGTGTGTGTGTTTGTTTGTTTGTTTGTTTATAAGCACAGTTGAAAACGTCCGGTGTAGGGTTTGTGTGCGCTCAGTAGACACGCATGACTGCTCATCTGTAACAGCGAAAGCACCCCATTTAGGCCCCTCTTCTGCCTTTCCACAACACAATGTCAAACAAGATACTGTTGACCGTACCAGTTTTATTTCATTATTAGAAATATCCAAAATTGTGTAAAGAAATGACTTGATGCTGTCAAATTACACAGTTGGGACAGCCACTATTGTGTAAAAAATACCTAAGGCCATTCCTGGCAGGCTAAGGATGCCTCACTCAGATATAAAAAAAAAAGGAAAAGAAACATATATACCCAAAAGCATCAAGGCTTGTATCACACGTGAAGAGTGCATCCTACAAACAACAGCAAATAAGGAGTCATTCACTTTTGCAGATGACTCCTTGGTACCAACCCAAGTGGACTGCAACAAATACTAAGGATGAACCCAAACAAAATCGAATACAGATTTCAATTATCGGATACAGCAGGTAAATGCAAAATGCTTCCGACGAATAACAGCGCGAAAAAAATACGGACACGTACAACTTTCAGATATAACATATTTTCACGTTAGACGCCTTCATACCAAAGTTCAAAATATAAACGGCCTTGAACAAAGCACAAAATAAAAGTGCGGTCACCCATATAGGTGATACGAATGTGACTAACTGGTCAACATGTTCTCTTGACGCCATAACACCACAAAATAAAAAATGGACCAGGAAGAAGACTATGATGCAGCAGTTGGGTTTGGCTCCTTTGTGATATACACTCAAAGCTCGATATAACGAATCTGCATATAGAGAAATATAGGTGATAACGAAGTAAAGTAATCATCTTCCAATACATATGGTGTTACAAATATATACCTTCATAAAGAATTTTTGGATATAACGAGCTTACTTTTGTGGGAGATGCAACTTTGTTATAATGGAGTTTGAGTGCACAAGCCTACCCATGGCTGCATTTGCAAGATCATGTGTATTGGACTGTGAAGTGGCGCTCTTTGACAAGTAATGAGAAAGTTCTGTGCACCCAGAATAGGAACAACAGCGGTAAACTGCTAATGTCAGCTCGGCTGCACCGTTCTGAACTGCTAGTACAAACCACTACGTTAAAGCGGGCAACTGAGAACACACAATGCGAAACACAATGGCTATGTTTAAACAAAAAGCCACATTCAGAACAAACAATGTGCTTTATCAATGCCAGCCGTACTACGCAACAGCACTAACGTGCCATTTTACAATTCACACAAAACTCAAAAGACATGCCACTTCGCCAGAAAGTGCGCAATGCTCGCAATGTGCAAACGCTATTGTGGCACATAAGTTTTCAAATATAGTATCAAATGGACAATACAAAATACAAATAACAGCCTCGCTAGCAAGAATTGTCAGAGTACTACACGCGATTGCTAACTATTGACTAAACACGTCATTACCACTAGCTGAAGTAACACAGCACATACGGTTTGCCATCAAAACAACGGCCTGGTATTTCGAGCACGAGACACGTACACTTTTAAAGATGGGGAAATTACGATTACATTTACCCCAATATACTTAGATGATTATATTCTACGTCAAAACATGTGATGTTCCCTTAATCACAACGAAAACGAAAAGCAATCATCAAAGGGGCAAAACCACACGAGCGAATTCATTTTGAGTAACAAAATAAGAGATCCGTTAACTAAACAATAAATGCAAGTCTTCACACCGTATCCTGCTTTCGCCCGCAACTGTAAGCTCAAGAATGGCAGTACTGTACTGAAGCAAGTGAATACTGGACATGTAGCGTGTTACAAGAAATACTTTCGTGGTCTGTTATCTCACATTTCTGCATGACAAATTAATAACTGCACCATATGTTTCTGAAAGATGAGAGCGCATCATGATTGCTTTTAACGAACTCCTCGGGCAAAGCATCAGCAGTTGCAAGGCTCTTTTCCTAAAAAAAATTGCAGTGAAAAACACATCACCTCTGAAAGGGTAAGGATGAAGGAGCTAGGCTTTTCCCAAATGCGATTAAAATGTTACGCAGCTTCAGTTGGGCAGAGTGATTGGCTGTACCCAACGGTATGAGCGAGGCAGTCGAAAGGCCCCCCAAAAAAACCCTCCATCACCTGGGCTGAAAGCAAGTAGTGGTGTATAAAACAAAGTCAGAGTTGAATGTCACGTTCATTTCGTAGTGCCCTAATGGCACACCCGTACAGTTAAAGAACAAAAAATGCACATGTGTTGCTGAAGTCACCCTGGAAGAGTTAAGAAGACCGGAAAGCCAAAAAGCACGACAACAATGACAGCAAATTCCAATAGGACTGCAAGGTCAACACGCTCCAAACACCTACTGGTGCAACGTCCTGAGAAATTCGACGAACGGACTCTCTCGCGCAGAAACATTAAGGCAAGCAGAGACGAGTCACCCATTATGAGATATATACATACAAAAAATAGGCACTGCCTCTCTTCAATGATTTGCGACGAAGAAGGCGAGATTCGGCGTCAGCATCACAGAACCGTCTGTCGCACATCAAAAGCCTTGTGCAGCACTATTTCACTGCACGTGTGATTGAAGGCAGGAAGCTGTACTGGGCCCCTTTGGAGCAGAGGACAGGTTTTCTGTCCCCCGATTAGGTCGTCCCTTTTGTCACAAGTACTCGAGTGCTTCGGTGCCAAAGTACCGATCTCCGAAATTTCCTGCGAAAAAAAAGAGAAAAGAAAAGATATACAAAAAGTTCAGACCAATTCCTTAAGTTTTCGTCACAGACTGACATGTTCCAACAGCTTTTTGTGTACACAAAGGAACGGAAATCAAAATAAACTCTAGCACAGTAAAAGAAACGAACAACACAAGCACTGTCTCAACTGAAAATGTTATAGGATATTGGATAATATAAATGGAGGTTTAAAAAAAAATTCAATACCACTTTGAAAAAGCCAAATCACACACACTGAGTACAATCACTGCAAAGCTGTCAGCGGCAGCTAACCAGTATACAGTTCAGCCTTCTGAAAGCGATACTCAAGTGCCACAAAAGTTTTATTGTTATAACCGATAATTGCTCTAAACCAGTACCACAAAGAAAGCAACATAGGAAACAGCAGGCTGTTGTAAATAACTATAATATCGGATGGGACATGCAAACAGACATCAGTGACGAGGAGGATGACAAAGCTGCCGATTTTTTGGACATGACTGAAAATTCAGATGCTTTACGGGTACCGCCACAGGCCCCATAGCCCCAAGGTATCGCGTCTTATGTTTCGAATGCTTGAAGTCATCGTCGTCTGAATTGCATGCTTTAGCAAAGCCATTGTGCCGCTCCCGTGCAGTAGCGGATTCAAAAGTCAAGTTTGCCGCAATGCCATCGCACTATCATACCGGCCAAGTTCAAGGATTCTGAATCTGGGAGATTTCCGCAACAATGGGGGAGGGGGGATGAATTATTTGCCTTTTTTTTTTCGACGCCGAAAAAAACCCAAAGACAAACAATAAACATCGCGAAAAACAACAGGGAGTGGGGGTCTCAATCACAAGCGCCAACATCAGCCTTGCAGTCTTATAGTGGCTTAGAGTGGCCGAACACACGAGGGTAGGGTTTCCCACTAAGGTTAAAGAAGGATCAACACAACTAACAGAATCTATTTCCGTCAAAATAAGTCGCATATGTCTTCCTGGGACACACGTGAACGGACGGGATGGCGCAGCTCCGTCCAAAGCTTCCTTCGAGTACGCTGCTCTCGGCCTTCGTTCGACGGTTTCCGTACTAAAGTTCGTATCACCCGCCGCCATTAGAAAATGTGTTCGGAGTATTGGAATCGAGGCCCAATGAACATGGTGGAATTAGGCCGCAGATTTTCACAAATTCGCATTCGCCGCGATTCCGCATTACCAAGATCCCACTGTACGTTTAGATGAACGCCTCTTAAGCTCATTTATAATAGAATGGGGTAGGCTCAAAAAGACTGGGGCGGATTGAGCTGCTTTTTTGCCAATGCGGCCAGACACGCACAGAAATTTCGATTTCCGGGATATTTTCATGCCTACGATACAAAGGGAAAAAACAGTCGAAACCCGGGAGTCTCCTCCCGGCCAATCCGGGAGACTTGGCAGGTATGCGCTATGCAGTGAAGCATACCACAACACTGTAGAGGCACTGCGGTGTGCTGTGGTTGTGGGTGGGGGTTAGAGCACTCTACACGGACAGATTTTTCCGGCCTGAGTCGGGCCCGGCCCGGTGTTTTTAAATGCGGCCCATATCCGGCCCCGAGAAGCTTGGGCCCGGTCCGTTTCAACCAATTGTGCCAGGAGCATAAACAGGGCACTGTTCGATATTCAGTAACTGTGATGATACTTGCCGTAAACAAGATATTTTCTAGACTGTCTTGAGAACTTCTTTGAGGGTCATGAAGCTAACTGGTATATTTTGTGTACTTTTGGGTAATTACATCTGTAATGCTTCTGGGAAATAATTGCAGAGTAATTAAATATATTCAGTCTGTACCATGTACGCAGTGATAACCATAAAATCTTGTGTTTTTAATTTTAAAAAAATTAGAAAAAAATGGCAGACATTCATAACTTGAGTGTACATAAATTACATGAAAGCCAGGTTCGTCGAGTACCGTATTTACTCGATTCTACCACGCCTTCGATTGTAACGCGCACCCGATTTCCACCGCGAAAAAAAAAAAACATGTAAGACATCGATTGCAACGCGCACCATTTTTCTCCTGGCCTGCACGATCACACCACTCGAAAAAACGACTCCTTTCGGGAGCATCTTCCATTTAAATATGAGGTACGGCGAAGCTTGTGCTCATCTGACGTGTAACAGAGCATTGCCGTCACTGTAGTTTTACCGAGGACCGATGTCAACACGCGAACTTGCTTCACCCCCTTCTTCTCGACGGTTGTGGTGCCAGGCATGTCGAAGTAAAGAAGCGTCTGATCGGCATTCCCGATTTGCCCAAGCAGGTAGCCGTTGTTGCGCCGCAAGTTTAGGACGAACCTCTGAAAACTGTGAAGCTTTTTATCGTACTCCTCCGCAAAACTTTTCGCATATGCATGTTCCCCTTCGGAGGAAAAAGCCTTTCCTCTTCATAAAGTTAGTTAGCCAGCACCTGCTCGCTTTAAACTGGCTTCGCATTAGACCTTTTTCTAAGACTAATTGCATAGCCTGCACTTGGAGCAGTTCTGTCATCACGGGCCGCTGTGCGGCTCGCTGCTCAAGCACATACTCGCCGAGCAGCTCTTTAATGTGCGGAAACCGACCCTGGTGTGGTCCACAGAAGCCTTTGCGTGAAGTTTTGCTGTCGACAATCTTCTGCTTTTGTTTCCGCCGGTCCCGCACGCACATTTCGGGAACTCCGACCGACCGCGATGCGGCCCGATTTCCCTCCGTTTCTGCACACGCGATGACTTTTCTTTTAAAAGCGGCATCGTGGTGCATTCGAGTTTTTGGAGTCGGCCCTTCCACGCCGTCAATGCTAATGCACTACTAGATGACGAACTCCTCAGCACACGTACGAAGTGCCGCACATGGGAAACACATAGGCAGAAATGGCCGACGCGCCATGCCGACGCACGTAGGGGGCGGCCATTTAGGATTTGCCGATGGCAATAGATTGACCGTAATTTTTTTTTTCGTACTCGATTCTAACGCGCATGCGATTCAAGAACTCGCTTAACCGGAAAAAAGGTGCGCGTTAGATTCGAGTAATTACGGTAAATGTGACAAGTCTCCTGAAAGTGCCATTTATTATGCCATGCAATTAAAAGAGCACACTTTAGATAATTCTGAGAGGACTTCCATGGGGCGGAAACTCCTTATACCTCCCATGTATTCGCTCCCGGCAACGACAGAGCCACTTTTACCACTGGCGGTTGCCGGGCATCCAAGTAGAAATAAATCAAGAACAGAAAATTTCTTTCATGACTTCACTGTTAATGGTCTCAAATAGAGGGAAAGGACGCAAAATTGAGAGGGGAGGGTTTCCGCAGAAGCCATACTTTCCCACTTCACATATATGCGCATTGTGCTCGTGCTTTTTCTCAGGTCCTTTGGCCGCTTGGCCAATGTAGCCATACAATTTTGTTAATCTTTTTTTAAATTTTGTTCATGTTTTCTGAAGAGGCAAAAGTTAAGCTTACTGATTTCCGAGAAAAACGGAACAAGTCCAGGCCAAATAAAATGAAGTTTTTATTGCACCTTCGTATAAAGAAAACAGACACAGTATGAAAGTGTCGATGCATAAAAGCAGCCTTTATTTACAACTGACATACGGGCGTATTGAGCAAACATGAACCCAGAATACCCGAACGAATGAGAAAACTACGTATCAACAATCACGAGTATACGACACGTCACATTTGACTCAGTTCACATCTGTTAGGACGGCACATAGTTTCCTTGCAACTATGCAGCTTGCGAAACTGTGCAACGCAAGCAGGTTGGTCGTCAGCAGACACCAAGGAAATTTATCTTTCCTTGGTGTCTGTGCATGCAACTGTATACAATAAATTTTGTACAGGAGTAGGGGCTCATGTTTCCAGCTTTAATGTGTCTTATACTCATCCGTTCATATGAAAAAGACGGCAGAAGTTGGGGGAAGAAGTTTGAAGGAATGCAAAATTCCTGAACCCCGGTTGCCGCAGGAGCCGTCGCACATTTATTCAGGAAAAGGTGCCAATGCACCCCCGTGCCTATACACCCCCGCTTCCCTGTTTCAAGGCGTACAGTATCAAATCGAAATCATAATCATGAGTTTCCTTATATAGCACTCTAACTCCCACCTCTCAGCACAAACACCCGAACGCCAGAGGTTATAACCGATAATACAGCATGTGGGCATTGCTGTAAGCAAGTTATTTTACGACAGAAAACATACTTAGGTTGATGCAGCTTCCCATTGTTTAAAAAGATATATTGTTAAACTCGATATTGTCACGTTACAACGTAACTGTAACCTGTAGATAATGGCACACAAGGACCTCAAACTGATTCGAACAACGGCAATACGACTTTATTGTTTTTCTCTGCACGCGCATCTTCGTCCTCTTCTGAACAGCGACACATACAAGCCTGCCAGCATCAATGAAAATAATACTTTCAGTACTTGTACTAGTGGCATTACCCCCCTTCCCAAAGAACATCGTCCCGATGTCACAACATAATTACCATATGAAAAGAAAAGACATACGATAAGCAGTACACAAGTGGGTGTTCACAATCACTGTAAGTCTACTCAAGGAAGTTTGACGAATAGTCAGTGTTGGTAAAATGGTTTCATCCTCGAAACATAGACGACGTGTGGCTGTTGTGAAAGGCGGGATTTACGAGCCATGTCCTCGTCAAGAACCTCGTAGTTTACTTCGCTGAGACAGCGGAGAACTCTACAGGGACCAAAATAGCGGCGTAACAACTTTTTCGACAGACCCCGTTGTCGAATGGGAGTCCACAACCGTACTCGTTCTCCGGGTTGGCAAGAGACATCGCGACGACGAGCGTTGTACCGCAGCGAGTCGATGCATTGTTGCTTTTGAATTCGTTCGACTGCAAGCTTATGAGCTGTGTCTGCCAGTCTGATAAATTCGTTCGTCTCGACACTAATCTGGCATCTGTCTGGTAGAGGTATGGCATCCAGCATTGTAGTGACCTGCCTGCCGTGAAGCAACTGGAATGGTGTGAACCCAG